ACACGCCGCCCCCTGCCCGGCCCCGCGGCGCGGGAGGCCGCCCCCCTCCATGGCCGCTCCGCGGGGCTCTACCTGCGCGCCCGCCCCGTGAGCAGCCGCGCTCCGCTCAGCCCCCGTCTCGGCCTCCCGCGGGCTGCGCGGCCCCATGGCAGCGGCGCGGCGCCGCGGGCTGCCCTGACCGCCTCGCCTCGCTCCCTCCCGCAGGGCTCGGGCGGCGGGACCGCAGCATGGAGCGCGCGCGCGGCGGCGCCTGCCTGCGCCTCGCCGTGCTGCTCGGCGTGTGGAGCGGCGCCGCGTGGGCGCCCGCCGCCGCCTGCCCGCACAAGTGCACCTGCGTGGCCGCCAGCGTGGACTGCCACGGGCTCGGCCTGCGCGCCGTGCCCAGGGACATCCCCCGCGGCGCCGAGAGGCTGTGAGTACGGGCGGGAGGCGCGCGGCGCCGCGGCGGGGCCCTCCGCACCTGCGCGGCAGCCCGGCCGGGCCCCGCATCCCYGCGCGCGGGGGCTTCGTTCCCCGCAAAAACCCGCGACCCCCGTAGCGGAGCCACGCGGAGCAGGAGGCGAATAGAGCCTCTGGTTTCTGCAGGGTGGCTGTGCTGGAGAAGCTGGCGCTCCGCGAGCAGCTCCACGGGGTGCCCCATGTGCGGGTGTCCTGCTCCCGCAACACYGCGTCCCAGGGCGTTTCCCAGTTGGCTTCTTAAGACGTCTCCAGCAAGGGATAAGTTAAAGGTTCAAATCCCTGGGACAACTCTGGCGCTCGCTGCATGCGGAGACCAGGATATCTGAGGTTGCTTCATGCCCAGCGCAGGGCATCGGTGAGAGGTGTCCCGGGGGATGACGAGGGGCTTGTCCTCCGYGTCACCGTGGGGCTCACGTGGATTAGGGTAATTCTGAAATGATGCTTAACTTCTCCAACAGTGCTGTAGGTTATGCAGTTTTTCTATTTTATTTCTTTCTGGCTTAGAGTTTGGCAGTTCTCAAACCCTCCAGCAGCTTTTCTCCAACTAGAAAAAAAGCGAGAGGAGGTTACTAAACACGGGAACATTGCATAGGTATTAGCCTTTTAAAAGCTAGTTCTGTCCCAGGATGAAGTTTTAGAGCTTTTATGACGCATTTATAGATGTACTTTTATAGTATAGAGAACTTTTAAATGGTAACAGTATGGGGTTTTTGTGTTTGTTTCTTTTCCATGACTGGARTATACTACTGTCTTTGCATTTTGTGAAATCTGGAGCTGTGAAATCAGCCTTGTATTTAGAGCCAGTTGTGCAAACAGCAGTTTTCAATTGTCAKTACTGGAGAAGGCTTCACCCCTGTGCACAAGGGTGCCACATTTGGGACGTGATGAGCAGTAGCCCTGCAGCGTGGAGGCCGTGAAGGCTGTGCTGGTAGCACACCAAGGCGGTCGGAGTAAGCTTAGCTCTGGATAACACCGATATTTGTGTGCATCTTAGCAACAAGGTGTGTGCTCAGATTTGAGGGCTGTGCTTAACATTTTAAATTTCAGGTTAAAATGAAGCACAAATGCAAGGTTAGTTGGTCAGCTCAAATGCCTTTGAAAAATAGTATGGTAATTTTGTTCTTGTTTGGAGTTTTGAAAGGCTGACTTTTTTCATTGGGCAGGACTCCCTTGTATAATGTGCCTGATAGAGGAGCATCACAGTTAACATCCCTATCAGCCATGGGGTTGCCAGGGTGAGTTTCTGGGCCTYGGAGTGCCAAGCATTCGGAAGCCCGGAAGGCTGAAGGCAGGCACTCATTGCCCGGCTCCTGCTCCTCATAACTTCTGGTCGAGTTTACAGATCTCTTAAATTCGAGGCCAGCAGCTGCATGAAGAACAGTAGTTGTTTCACAACCTTCAATTTGAACGTTTTACCTCGCAAACTACTGATAGATATGATGTCTAGCTGCCTTTTTTATTTTTTTCCTTTCTGAAATAGGGTGTTATAGGAACATTTGATTCCAAGCAACAAAATGAAATCGAGCTCAACAGTGACTTAAATTTTCTGGAAAGAGCATATGGAGGATCCCTTACTAGCAGACTGCTCTGTGCTCTTGAATACTGTCTTTGCTTTTTATTCTTCTAGTCTCACATGAACCTTTCCCTGATAAATCCCCTGTAATATAATTGTGCCATAAAGCTTGTACTTCGAGATTTGCGCCATCTAACTTCACTAACTTGAGTTACCTACTATAGGCAATAGAGAAGAAAAGGCCTTAATTCCCCTGGTCATCATTCTGCTCGTACATGACACGTGGGGTCAGGACACTGGATGTACCTAAGTATCTCACTGTTTGCTGTGGTCCCTGGCAACCTGTATTCGTGTCTGGCATGACGCTCATTGAGCTCTAGTCTTTGATTAGTTTGTCTAAGTCGAGACAGATGCAAACAATTTTTGTTTGTGACAAAAATTTTAAATTGTAGACAAGTATTTAGACACTGAAATTTTTTGAGTACATTTGTTAATGGCCACACACTGAGTGAATTTTTAGACTCTCAGACTGTGGAATAAGTCTGTGTTGCTTTCTGTATCCTTGTGAGCTAAGGTTTCTGTATGCTCGTCTAGTTTGGAAACTTTTCCCTTTGGCTTTAATTAATAAAAGATTTAAAAGCACCACTTAATCTTTCCCACTAAGCTTCTAGAGTTTTGTTTGTACAAAAGCTACAGAATGTTTGGGCTGCAGGAGCCAAGCTAAATATTATTTAAATTGTSTTAAAATGAAACCCAAGGAAAACTAGATTGAATGTATAACCTGAAGGAAAAGTAAGGAAACTATTGGGGAAGGTGAGTTGCCTTGTTGAGAAGCAGCATTAGGTGGAGTAGGGAGAGTGCCCTGGCACTGCGAGAACTGTCTGTCACCACAGCTTTCATGGCTGTTTTTCCATGAAAAATGAAAACCACACTTTTTTTTTCTTTCATGGCTTTCAGAGGAAGAAATTTCTGCRTAAATAATTCTATCATGGAACTCCCCAACAGCTTTTTTGTTTTCTTCATCTTAATAGTACTTTTCCAGATGCAGCAGCATTAGGTCTGTGCTGCCTTTGAGCTTGTTACTGCATTCTGTGTTTGTTAACTGGGTGGTGTGGATAGAAATTGGTTTGCTAGCCCCCGTCTCGTGCAGAGCTTGGAGGAGATGCAAATGCTGGGTGCTGCTACTACAGGAAGAAATGGCACAGGGCAGAGCAAGTAAGCAAGCGGAGACCCAAGTGTGCCATTTTCAAAGGGATCAGAAATTCCTTTTATGCTTCTAGGGAAGGAGCTCCCAGAATATCCCACATATTGCACAGGAAGGGAGAGAGATGAAATTGAGGCTAAAACATATAAATATGTATACACRAGCTCCATACGCTCCATGAAAGAACTTGTCTGTCAACAGAGTAATAGAGGTGACCTTGCAGCTTCCCTTCAGCGTGTCCTGGCCAATACCACACTTGTTAAGTATCTTAAAATCCCACCAAAAAGAAAGAAGAAGGTTCATGAGCCTCTTGTGTTTTGGAGAAAACTAATAACGTAGCAGTTAACTTTTGGTCACGGGTAGAATGAGTTCTCTTACTGCAAGCTTTGCAACTAGTAATTGCTAGCCTTGTGTGTGAATAATGGAGACAATTGAGGGTTTAGAAATCAAGCTTATGTTGATATATTAACAAAAACATTTATAATAATCTAATATAATGATCTGATTTTATCTGAAATGATAACATGTAAATGCAGTGAGCAGATTAAAGCTATTTACTTGGTGGTTGYATCCTCTTCTACCAAGAGATAAAAGTGGTATGGAGAAAATAGTCAGAGGTGTTAATACATGGGTAATATCTGCCTTCTGTTTAAATAGGAAAGTTGAGCCTTTTTTTTTTTTAACAGGAGAAGCAATAGACAGAAAGGGGGTTAGTATCATTGCGTGTGTGTAAAAGTTTATTTGGAAAATTAAGCCACTTGTTTGCGTTSTTCATGAATTTACACTTGGTAGTACTTGGTATATATCTGATTTAGAATTGATGCCTTCTCTGGGATATTTTATTTTCATTTTTTAACCTGGGGAGAATCTTCGCTTTCCTGAACGGATAAATCTTGCAGGACTAATCAACTCTGTGCTCTGCCTGAAAAGCTAAATTGAGTGTGTCCACATTTAGGTGCAATTTAGGAGCTTAGTCATCTGCTTACTCTGGAGTTTTCATGTGGTCTGGGGTTTCTGTTATACAAATATATTATTATGGTGTTTTTGGCCTAGGTGAATGTTGCTGCTGAAGTTGGGTTGGCTTGGAATAAGTCTTCAACTTCCTCAGTTTTGTCTGCAAATTAAATCTAAGCTTGTGTCTTGGAAGCTTCCGTATTGCTGGAGAACACACTGTGAAGCACATAAGGATGTAACTGTACAGAGCTGTATCCCTCCTCCCGTGGATTCAGCTCTGTGGGAATGCTTCCCACTGGGAAYTATCCTCCTGCTTCTGGTAGGAATAGCCTCCAAAAGCCAGCGTGGGGCCCTGGTCCTGTCCCAGGGAGGAGGCTTACRTGGTTTTGGCTTAGATAATATCAGAACTTGCTATCAGAAGTGCTTATCCTGGGAAAGCTGAGCTGAGTTGCTTGGATTAGTACGTGTAATTGCTAACTTGGTAGTGACTAGCTGTGCCTGACTGAATGTCTTGCAGTATTAAATTGATATCCAATTTCACAGTGACGAGAGCAGGAAAGAGGATGATATTAATGCCCTTGTAACTCGGGTAACTTGTGCTGGTCGCTGTCTTSTGGTCTGTGGCTGTGCTCTCAGTTTTGGGTAAGAGGCTGAGATCGAGCAACCCGCTTACTTGATGCAGATTACTTGGGTGAATTGCCATGAGACTCTTCGCTTTGTGCTCTTATTTTTCCAGTTGAGGTTGACGCCTGCAGAGGTAGTAGGTGAAAGAAACCTTGTCCTTCCAAAGAACAGTCGCTGTCTCTTTTGTAGTCCTAGAATGTACTGATAGGTATCGCTTTGATTTTTTTTCCTGCAATTTGTGTGTATGCAGAGAAGCACAAGTGTATTGAAGTCAGCCTCGGTTGTCTGCATTTTTTCAGGCCTGTGCAGATGGTTGCTGCGCTGTTGCAGCTGATCTGGTTTTTTCAAATAGCATTTTGCCAGTTGTTGGTCTGGTGGGATCCATTTTTCTGGATTAGCAGACTTAATGGTGCCTGAACCGCAAGTTGGAGGGTTTGAGCTATTGCTTAGGTATTGCAAACGTGTTGGCTTACGCCTACTTYACCAGGGTCAAGCGGAGAACTGTTTTGCTTTGGGTTCAGACAGAAATAYGTCAGACTGAAATGCAGGATTCTTCCTTAGTCACAGCCCTGATGCTCTTGGTTTATTCCATGTCCTCCACCTGCTGAGGTGGTTGCAATGCTCAGGTGGGTTTTCTGAAGCATGAACCGAATTGCCC